TTGTCAAGGACTTCATTCTTCTTGGATCAACTATCAACATTCATGGAAACAGCAATCAAGAAATCAAACGACGTATTGCATTGGGCAAATCTGCTGCACAAGACCTTTTTAAAGTGTTGAAGAGCAAAGATGGCAGCTTGAAGACTAAGGTGTGCCTGACCCAAGTCATGGTATTTTCAATAACCTCATATGCATGCGAAAGCTGGACAGTAAATAAGAAGACAGTAGAAGAATTGATGCATTTGAGTTATGGTGTAGGAGGAGAATATTTAAAGTGCCACGGGCTGCCAAAAGAACCAATAGATACATCTTGGAAGAAGTGCAGCCAGAGTGCTCCTTGGAGGCCAGGATGGCCAAGCTTCTTCTCTCATACATCGGACATATTGTCAGGAGGGACCAGCTGCTGGAGAAGGATATCATGTTTGGTAAGGTGGAGGGTCAGAGATAAAGAGGAAGACCACCAACAAGATGAATTCGCCAAGTAGCAGCATCGATAAACTCAAGCGTGGCAACAATAGTGAGGTTGGCCCACGATCGGGCAGTGTTTTGTTCTGCTGTGCATCAGGTCACTATGGGTTGGTACTGACTTGATGGCACCTAACAACAACTTTTTACTAGGATGAACCCATAACAAAATTGAATAATGTAAGAGCAGTAATTAACAAGGGGTTCACAAGGAAGTTTCAGGGAGGCCCTGAAACAGCATCTATAGATTTGTTTTAGATGAGGGTGACTGGATCTGAACAGATTTTCAAATAACCTGACAGCTCTTCTAACTTCAATAATACAAAAAGTGATAGCACTAGGTTCAAAAAGTAAGAATTTAAGCTCAGTTGTAAAGTCACCTTGAAGTCTAAACCACTGGCCACTTATGTAAAAAATGCATGATGTTAACAAACATGTAAGTAAATATCAAGAACCAATAATTAAAATAGAGTTACTTCCCATAAGGCACACACTGCCAACACAGATACTATATATTATAAATAAATAATTGGCAACCTGTAGATTTAGCAACTAAATCAAGAGATAAATATAACTGGTATTGGAGCTAATATAACTTTACTGGAAGAAATGCACATTAAGTCATTCTAGATAAGGGAGTGGCTTTTCTATTTTTAAAGATCTTTGGGGAAAAGGATACCAATGATCTATCCTTAGTAACTCTTTTCATTAGGCACAATTTTATAGCAAAAGGATCAGTCACACTTTAAACTGACCTGTTTGCACAGTCATTTGCTGCTTGGCACGTCTTGCTGGTCAAGAGAAGAGCCCTTACCTAGGATAAATGTCACCGAAGATATGGCCCAATAGCTGGACACGAGCCAAGTAGCCTAGGAGTGGATACACAGTCATCATCTGGAACAGCAGGAAGATCCTTGCAATGAAGGACAGGATGTCACTGCTAGGGAAGTTGTCTAAAAAATTCTGATCCAAGAAAGATAATGAGATAATATTAAAAATCAAAACCAGTATCAATAATTTTATAAAGTAGAATATATTTTGCTTATTTTGAACACAGGTGCTACTCAAATTGTGGTTTGTGATGTGGCGCTGGTCCACAAACTGTGAACTATTCTACGGTAAGTATAGAAATTTTAGGTATTCGGAAATGTTTAAAGAAATTTGACACTGAGAAATTTTTAATTCTAGTTTACAAAAGTATCAGTCTTCAATAAATTTAAGATAAAAAAATATAAGAATACATTTCTCTTCAACATAGTTTGAGAAGTACTGCTGAAAAATGTTCAGGAATAAAATACCAATTGATTTTATGATGTTTGAATTTAATTCAATTTAATTCAATGTTACTTCATTCTCACTAGCTCTCTTATGTTTCCTCCTCTGAAGCATGGCAGCCATTTCAAAGTAAACAGTATAAAGTGAAAGTGTATCTATTAATTATATAGTATTTACCATCCATGATTATTTAGCAAGATAATTATTTCTACTTCCTTTTATAATTGTTTTCTTTATTTTACTTTGGTTTCTGAAAAAAAGTTAATCACTCAATTTTATTTTTAATTTATTTCTCTTCAAATACAAATGCTACCAATTATTCCTGTTCCTGAGGAAGTGGGCTTTATATGTGGTTGTTGACATCAGGGAAATTTTTAGCAAACTTTTAGCTGCCGAAGAACTTCTAAAATTAAGGAAATCATGAGTAGGAGGACATTTCAAGCCATCATAAGGCTAGGACCTCAAAACTATTTTATTTTAAAGAAGTAAACATTATTATGCTTATTCTGCTGAAATAACTGTTGTAACTCATCTGTAATAAATCACATTATATATTCCATTATACTCTAATGCAGGATTTTCTTCTAACTAGAAAGAAATTCACCTGTAAAATGCTATTTGTTGTGAGCAATTCTTCAGTCCCATGTACTAGAGTTAATGATAGGCACAAATCAAATAAAATACTTAAGACAATCTTTAAGTAGAATAGTTTAAAAAACTTTTTTCCTTTTATTTCAGCAGTCAAATAATTCTTCTTTGCTTGCTGCCTGAGAGCCAAACCTATAATTAGGTCCTGATGAACTAAGATACCAGCTTATCTGGACATTTCCTGATCTGGGCTTTGGAAAATATGGAAGTTGCTTGAATGTAATGTCTGTTAGAGATTTTACAAATTCATGAAAACTACTAGCAATAGTCTCTCATGTAAACAGAATTAATATGCAAATGGTAGCAATCATTTATTGAGCACCACAGTCCTTCCCAAATCTAAAGGAGTATATTATATACAAGCAGTCTTCAAAAGGTTCATAGAAAAATTGAAGTAAAAGATAATGGAATTTTTCTATTAACTTTTTGAAGCTCCCTTGTATTAGACTATTTTATGGAAACGGAGACTCAGAAAAGCGGAAGTGTCAAAATTTCCACAGCAGTATTAGTATGTTGTTGTTAAGTGCCATTGAGTCAGTTCCGACCCATAGTGACCCTGTATAGGGTTTCCAAGGCACAGCTGGTGAGCATGAACCACCAACCTTGCAGTGCAAACCAACCTTGCAGTCCAGCACATTAACCCACAGAATTAGTACAGTAGTGATGATATTCAAACATAGGACTGTCTTTTATTATGTTCCTGCTCCTAGATCAGCTGCCTGTTATATACATATATAAAGGTATAAACAATCAGAGAAGGTATCTAATACCTTACCTGCTCAATGCAATCTTTGGATAATGGTGGTGAAGGAAATGAAGCAAAAACTAGGATTCCAATATAGAGATAAGTTAATGTCACCAACATATAAGCAATGGACAGGTCCCTCACCTGCAAACAGAGAATAACACTCACATAATATGGAATCAACTTACAAGTAAATCTACCTGAATATAGTAAAATACAAAGGCTAATGAATATATATTTATCAATTTTTACTTTGTGTGTGTGTGTGTGTGTGTGTGTATCTTTTAGCTATCCAATCTGTTCACAGAAAGGAGTTAAAACAAAATTGTCATTCTTTACAATTATTTAGTCAAATATATATATTTTTATTTCTGATTTTTTTGCTAGTCTCAAGGATGTAGACCAAGCTACCTGTTAGCAAACTTAGAAAGCTATTACCATAAAAGGTGGTTTAACACAAGTGAAATTCTGACTTAATTTCAAAGGTAATTTGTATATCAAGTTATAAAATATTTAGCTAAAATAATAAAGCTACAGAATAACAAGACAGAAAGTATAAGCCAATTGTGTATGACCTACAAAACTTAAAAAAAATTTTTTTTTCTCAGGGAATTTGTTAAGTCTTCAAAGCATGCCTAAATCAAAGTAGACTGGAACATATTAAAACACATTTAATAAAGAAGGAAAGCTAGTTAAAGAGCAGATAATAAGCAGGTATTAAAGACAAGTTTAATAAATCTAAACAGTAAACAAAGGAAATTAAGAGACAGCTATTTAAACAGCTGTACTATGTTATTATTGGGGTCAGTAAATAAATACAGAACATTATATAAAGCGATTGCTTTCTTTCATTGTTGTTCCCACCCTCTCAACCTCCCATCCTCATGCAAAGTAGAGTGCTCAAGATATTTAATGCAGCCAACTGTCAGATCCAAACAGAACAGACCCCACAGCTGACAGATCTGGTCCCTATCACCACTAAAGTTACAGCCAAACAATATGGCCCAACTAAATTATGCCAAACAGCCTACCCATTTTTGTTTTGTTTTAAACACAAATTACTTTGAAAGCAAAGAAAATAGATTAGAAAGAAACCCCGCCCCCAGCTATATACATTTTCACTTCACACTCTGTTGGATAACACAATAACAAAACTGGATCATTTGGTATTATGGAACATTGCTCAGTTTTTGGGCAACCTTCCAGCTCCAATGGATTAAAGCAATGGCAGATAGTTGTAAACTTCAATGTTGATAAATTTACTTAAAAAGCAAGTAATAAGCTAAGTTGAAAATCAGCTTGAAAATAAACCAGGAATTCCATACCCCAAGATAGGTGGGGAATAGGCAGAAGGAGCTAAAGGAACTTGTACTATACAAATTGTTTCCAGCCCCCCTCAAAGACCTTCTAATTCTTTGGGTCTAGAGGAACGATGGAGACTGACCAAACCTCCAGAGGGGTCTCAAAAGAGTTCTCTCTTTACTTTGTGAAGCATTACTACCCATATTAGCTTCGATTTTGTGTGGGATCAACAGAAATGAACCAGGCAATTCTCACTTTCGTATCAAAAGGTGTAGTCTCTTCTTATGATGTTTGAAAGTCTTTGGACTCTCAATTTGCTCAATGTCACTCAGGAGTAGAGGTATCCCAGTAAAAGATAAAATCGTGAAAAGCTAAAAGGGCTGTCACAATGACTCAGAGAGAGCTGTGTACAAAGAGGAACAGCCACCATCCTGTGGATAATCTTTTGCCTACATACCACCTGACCACATTATTTTGATCTAACTTCCCTACAAGATGTGCACTTTACACCACATTTGGGGAACTCTGGTGAAGATGCAAGAGCCAAGATACCTCCTTTACCAATAAGATGGAGTCCCTGGGTGGTGCAAATGGTTAACATGTTGTTGTTGTTGTTGTTAAGTGCCATCGAGTCGGTTCCGACCCATAGCGACCCTGTACAGGGTTTCCAAGGGTGTAAATCTTTACGGGAGTAGAAAGCCTCATCTTTCTCCCGCGGAGCAGCTGGTAGTTTCGAACCGCTGACCTTAAGGTTCGCAGCCCGATTCGTAGCCACTACGCTACCAGAGCTCCTTACTGGCTGCTAACTATATAAAGTTGGAGGTTGGAGTCTATCCAGCGACATCTGAGAAGAAAGCTTCACAATAGAATCCAGAAAAATCAGTTAGTGAAAACCCTACAGAGCACAATTCTACTCGGACACACATGGGTTTTGCCATGAGTTAGATTAAACTAGAAGGCAACTGGTTTTTCAAAAGAATAGCTTTCCCCTTCTACCTCCATCTCCATGGCACTATACACGTATCTCAAATACAGCAACTATTATGCTATTTTATAACTACCATTAATTTTTTATTGTTACATTTTATTGTATTATTGCTAATAAATATTGCATATATATTAGCAACAATATATTATAATAAATAAATTTGATTAAAAAAACCCAATATATATTGTTTACTATAAACCTTTATTAAACAGAAACATCAAAATGTGAAGCTATCGCTTCTGGACATCTAGGTCAAAACACTTTTGAAAGTGATGTTTTCATCTTTGAAACCTTCCCCATAGAATTTTGTGCTCTTCCAATTTGCACCATGTCAAAACAACAGTTTTGGCATCCTTGAGTGATTTTAAAAAGTTTTTATTGTGAATTGAGTGATAGTTTACATGGGAGAACATTAGCTTTACACCATTGTTTCATTGCAATGATTACAATCTCCTATGTGCATCATCATTCAACAGTATTTGCTTCCATTCCCCTGTTTTTTTGTGTTTTTTTTTGGGTGGGTGTTTGGAGAGGTAGGATGTACACAAAAATACTCAGGAATATGCAATAATTTAAACAACCAAAGAGCACATTCTGTAAGCCTGCCTCCTGGCCGCCAGCACCCAGTCCCTCTCTTTCCATGAGTCCAGAGTACCCAGCTGCTTCCTCTCTCCATGTCCTCATCACTGCCTCCATCTGTGGTGTCACTGCTTCTGTGGATAGGGTCCTGCATTCTACTTGTGCTCTTCTCCCTTGATGGTCCTAGGGTTCTCTGTTTCTGGTCTTTAAAATGAACTACTCCCTCATTTTTGTTACGAAACTTCTACCTTTACAGTTGTGGCAGTCGCAATTAGTCACGATAACAATTACTCACTAATGAATCATAAGAATCTTATTGCCCTCTCTTTTCACCAGACTCATCTAGATAAGATGCAAACTATTCAGTGGGGCCTCTACTTTCACCTGCACACTCTTAAACTAAACTCCCTCTTGAAAACTAACTACCATGAATTTTTAATACAAAAGTAATCCAAGTTCAACTCAAAATGATTAATAATCAGAACATGGAATGTACGGAAGTATGAATATAGGAAAACTAGAAGTTGTTAAAAATGAAATGGAACATATAAAAATCAATATCCTGGGCTTCAGTGTGTTGTAATATATTGGTCATGTAAAATCTGATAATCCTATGGTTTACTATGCCAGAAATAAAATTGAACAGGAATGGCATCATATACATCTTCATAAAACACATTTTAAGATCTATCTTGAAGTATACATAATACTGTCTGTGAAAAGATAATATCCATACAACTACAAGGAAGACAAGTTAATACCACCATTATTCAAATTTACCCACCAACCACTAAAGGCAGTGATAATGAAATTGAAGAATTCTATCAATGTCTTAAGTCTGTAATTGATCAAATAGGCAATTAAGGTGTATTGATAATTACTGGTGATTATAACACAAAGGTTAGAAACAAGAGGAAGGATCATTGGTTGAAAATTTGGCCTTGATGTCAGAAATGAGGCTGCAGATTAAATGATAGAATTTTGCAAGACCAATGACTTCTTCACTGCAAAAGCTTTTTTCAAACAACGTAAAAGATGATTACACACATGGACTTCACCATATGGAATACACAATTGATTTCTGTGTGAAAGAGATGGTGGAAAAGCTCCACATCATCAGCCAAAACAAGGACAGGAGAAGACTGTGGAACAGACCATTTTCAAGTTCAAAACAAGACTAGGGGCAGACTGTGAACAGACCATCAACTGCTCATATGCAAGTTCATGCTGAAGCTGAAG